GGCCGGCCCACCTTTATCACTTTTTAAATTTCCTTATGTAATGGGATCTATTTCTGGTGCTCTGTTCTGTTCTACTGACTTATTTGTCTACTCTTATGCCAGCATAATACTGTCTTAATTAGTTTCAGACTATATTTTAGTATCTGTCACGGCAAATTCCCTTCTCTTTCTACTGCCCTGTCCCATTCTTCTTTTTTCATACTTTGATTAGTTCTTTTCAGATAGCTGTTCTTTCATATGAATTTTAGGATAATTCTATTTTTAAAAAGACTCAAACCTGTTAAGATTAAAATTGGAATTGCATTTAAAAGTGCCTAAAAATCTATTTAAAAAAAAAAACAGTGAAAACAAAAAATTCTATGTTATTTAAGTAGCTTGTAAGATCCTAAAGACCAGGAATCTTGTCTTTGAATTATAGGGAATGGTTATTAACACTATTATTTAAATGTGTATCTCTTTAAACACTTGGAGTTAGTGTTTAAATAGTTAATTGGAGTTGAAGGACTTCCAGCCCCCTTAATCTCATGAATAATCTAGAAAAAAGCTGTATTTACTTTTCTAAGATATGGTGAGAGAAAACATTTGTGAAGTGCTTTCAAGCTATAAAGTGTTTTTAAAAGTGTAGCCTCTTAGCAGTAGTCACGCCAAAGAAGTTTTCCCTTTAGTTCACAATGAGCTTATTAAGTGCTTTTTATAGTAACTGTCCTATTTTAGATTGAGGTTCATCAGAGAAGGATTTGAACAGCATAAACCCCATCACCAGCACTTCAAGTAAATTATAAATTTCATGAGTGCTAAGGATTGTTATTAATCTACAAGCCATTTTAAATTGGTTTTTCTTTGGCACTGAGCTAATTGCTGCAAAGATGTAAAGGAGTAAAATACTGGTGCTTGTGTTCGCACTCAAGTAATTTACTACCTAACTGAAGTGATAAGGTAAACATACACATGTGAAAAGGTAATTAAAAATGCAAGGCAGTGTATGACTGATGACAAACGCACAGTGTGTGTACATATAATAGTATATATGTAAAGTGCTAGAGGAGTTCAGATGCAGGCAAGATCTCTTATAACCTGAGTGCTCAGAGTTTGAGCTGGGCCTTAAAGAATAAGTAAGATTTGGAAAGCAGGGAGAAAACTCATTCCATGTAGGAGGAAAAGTAACGACAAAAGTCAGGAAGCCAGGTTTTGGGAGTTTTGCAGAAATGGACTGTTTCTACAGAAGTGTTTAGATGGAGAAGATGGATTAGGGCCTGATTATGGAGGACCTTGAATAACAGACAAAGGAGTTGGGATTTTGAAATCTTGGCAACAAGAAGCCACTGAAGATTTTTGAGTTGGAATAATGTTAGTGATGTCCAGCATTGACTGAAATTTGAAAGTAAAGGAGGTAGAAAGACCAATAAAGCATTTCCTACAGTTGTCCTGGAGTAGAGGATGACCTAAACCAAAGTGGTATCAGTGGGAATTGGAATGAAAAAAAGCTGGAAGAAACAGTCAAAAGAAGATTTAGAAAGGCTTAGAATCAAACATGACTTTAATATTTTGATCCTCTGTGATTGGGAAAATGGTGGCATTATATTAACAGTTGTAGGATGTCAGCAGGATGAGCTGTTTTTATGTATAAGATTAGTTAATTTTTGGGCTTGCTGAATTTGAGGTAACAGCAGGACATCTAAGTAGAAACTAGTCTAGTAGATATTTGGAGATGTGGATCTGGTCTTGGGAGTGAGGTCACGGCTAGACATGCAAACTTTGGTGGTATTGTTGAAAGTGTAACAGAAGAGGTCTTCAAATAAAAGAACACAAGGATTGAGAAGCAAACTGAAAACATACCCATATTTGATATTAAGGGAAGAATTTAAAAATATTTTTTTCTTTAAAATCTTTGCTTTTAGCATTTGTTTCAGTTATCTTATAATTTTGACTTTTAAAAATGCTTTCTCTCATAGCGATGAATGAAGAAACCATAATGAAGAAATGTGCTTATTTTGTATATGTTCCTAGTGTATACTTACTAAAAGTATGTATTTTTACCTTTTTAGAGCTGTATTATAAAGCGATACTGTGAGAAAAGATTTGTGTCTAAATACCTTGCAACAATTGGAATTGACTATGGAGTCACGAAGTGAGTATATTATTTCTTTGGGCTTGTAAATTACATAGAAATTTAGAACCCTTCTAAAGTGATCGATCTTGAAATAGAGTTTCTGAAGATAAATTGGGAAAGAATAGTAATAAGAGACCTTTACAGATATGCAGAGATCATATCATTCATTCATCATTGAGCACATTCTGTTCACCCAGCTTTGCGCTTGGTCTACAGCGATGAACGTGTCAGCACAAAGCCTAACTAGCAGACACCACTTTTCAGGAAACACGTTTCTGTAAAAGGAGGTCTTATTAGCAGGTGTGCTTTTAGAGCATTTTGAAATATCCTCTCTGAAAAGGCTAAATATTATGTGGAAAATTTCCTATCAGAGGACTTTATTGGTATAGAATCTTTAAAGCCTATTGGACTCTAGCAAAAGTGATCCAAGAGTGAAATTGGATATAATTGGGGATTTATTTAGCGATGAATCAAAGGTGGGATGAGCTTGGGGAGACAGGGCTACATTTCAGGGAATAATACTACCAAAGAGTACAATTGAGGTAGACAGCATACTCCCTGAAACTGGAATCTCAGGTGCTCACTTGTTATGGCCCAGTCTGCTGCACCCCTTCTCTGCTATTACATTCCTTTACACGCTTTACTCTCCATCCACATTGAACTGCCGTTAACTTTCCTATCTCAGTGCCATCATTCATTCTGTCCCCCTGAAACGGCCTTTCCCCTCATCTCTCCACCTGTCCATCTCTCCAAGGAGTAAAATGCTCCTGGTCCCATAAGGCCTCTGAACACCTCCTTTATCAGGCAGGACTCTTTGGTTGCAAATGACAGAAATATTAAAATTCTCAACTATTTTATGGTACTTATCATAAATTGCCTTGTGTTATTTTTATTATTTGTATATGTTTAATGTCTCCTGCTAGATTANACACAGGCGACGCATACCATGAAGAGAAAACCCAGCCACAACCTCCACGCCACCTGCTTAGGGCCATGCCCGCAACTCGTTTACCAGACCCCAGGGATCAGGTAAACATAGCCTCATCTCCAGGGCTTGGCGATGACGTCAGACTGCCCCCTTTCTAGCATCGCGAGACTCTTTCCTCCCTCCCTCCAGTTCCCTGCGCTCCCAACCGCCTGCGCCCGCTGCCAGGCAGCCGCGGGGATGGCGAACGGCAGATCCCGGGCGGTGACGATAGCAGCGGTTCCACCATTGGATGAAGAGGCCTGAGGGACGGGCCAGCTTGGTGAACAAGGAGAGACAGAGGCGGGAGGCCCCGAGAGAGCGAGGGCAATGGAGGCCAACATGCCGAAGCGGAAGGAGCTTGGCAAGTCCCTGCGCATCAAAGTCATCTCCATGGGCAACGCCGAAGTGGGAAAAGTGAGTACCTGCCTGGGAGGGGCGGGACCTCAGCGCTGCGGAGCGACGTGCCAATTGGCTGGGAGGGCGGTCACTCAACAGCCTGGGGCCCAGCCTCCTCCCCGCCCCTGAGCAGGCCTGGTTTCCTCCTGGCAGATGTGGCTCGTCGAGGAAAACGCTCTTGACCTTTTTGACCTTTGATTGTCTCCTCCTACACCGACGTCACGCTCAATAAGATCCTGTCTCCTGTGACCCTTAACCCTTGAATATACTCCAAAGAGAGTTAAGGAGGCTTAGGTCCTAATGTCAGATCGTTTGCTTAGATACCATATCAGAGTTCTAGGTGACCGGTTTTTAGAGGTGGAGAATAAAAATTTAGTTACCCCAAGCAGTGCTTGGGAGCCAAAGGGAATATGTGGGGTGTGTGTGAGGATTGGGGATTTGTAAAATGTTGCTATAAAGACATGGAGCCCAGAATCTACACCATTTCAATTGTAACGGAGCGTAACTGATGCTTATGTGTTTCACAGTGGAGCTGCCGGGGATGTCAAGGAGCCTGCGTCATTTTGTATGTTTGTTTTGATTTTATTTCTGGTACTGTGACCACATCCATTCTCTCAAAAAAGCCTTAGTTCGACTGCCTTTTTCTTTGCTCCATCTACTGGTTATCAGCTATAAGCTCTCCTGTCATATGGGGGGATGGAGGGCAAGAGGTGACCAAGGTCTTTCCCTAAATGAATTCTAAGAGCATCTCTTCTTCACTCCAATTGTCTCTCCTTCTGTCTAAGTGGCCAAAAAATTTATACACATGACTTCTATTTATCTTTTGTTATCAGTATATATTGAGTATTACAATTTTAATATAGATTTTTCCTTTTTAAAAATGTGTGTACATTTTTTTGGCACCCTCTGTATATGTAAGTATTAACATAGCATTCACTGAAAGTTAACGTTTATTGACATCAACTATGTGCCAGGCATTAAAAGAAAATAAAAAGCCTCTAGAAGGTTATGTACTAAATTGCCAAAATAAGCATGCATGACTTTTGTAATTTTACTATGCTTAATGGTGCAACATTAGAAATAACCCCAAATACCCAGTGTCACCACATTTATATAGCATTGTTCTAGATTTATTAGCCAATGCAATTAGATAAGAGAAAAAAATATGAAGCACTGGAAAGGAGAAAGCAAAATTATCATTATTTACTAATGATACGATTGTTTATCTGGAAACCCAAAGAGAGCTAACTGAAAAACTATCAGAAACAATAAGAAAATTCAATAAGGAAAAACTCATATACAAAAGTTAATAACTTTATTACATTAAATTATAATTTTTTGAAATGTATAGTTGAAAACTATTTTAATTTACAACAAAAGCCAAAATAAAGTGTCTAGGTTTAAACTTAAGAAGAAATAGGTAGGACCTACATGAAGAAAAATTTTATACTCTACAAAGGGACGTAAAATTACTTAGGCAAATAGAAAGATGTTTCTCCGTAATTAAATTCACTTAGTATGTAGAGATGTAAATTCTTTAAAATACTCGACAAATATATTTCAATTCCGGTTATAAATTACCACTATGGTTTTTTTCTTCAGAGCATAATAAAAGGTACTAAAGCCCCTTATGAAAAATTAAATGTGAGAATAACCAAGAAAATTGTGAAAAGAGAAATGAGAGACTAGTACTACCAGATATTAAAACATATTTTAAAGTTACCAAGCTTTTCCTATTGATACTGGAAAGGAAATATATGGACATCAGTGGAATAGAATGAAGTCCAGAAATAAACCCAACCATATAAAGAAATTCAGTTTACAAATGTAACAACATAGTAAAAAAGTAGGAACCATTTAAAAATTACTATTGGAGCAACTGCCTCCTACTGTTTGGAAGTGGAGTGTATTCCTATTTCATTCCTTTCTCAAAAGTAAATTTTAGGTAGATAAAAGGTTTAAATGTAACTTAAAAATTTTTTTCCCTCAGTTGTAAAAGTAACACATACTCATTTTAAAGAATTTGGAAAATATAGCAAGATATACAGATAAACAATTTTAAGTTAAAAATTACAGAATGCCCTAGTAAATAATTGTCGGATCAAAAGGCAAATTAAAACAAATGACAAAATAACCAGGAAGCAATGAAAAGCATACTAAAAGCTTCAGGACAAAATTAAAGCTGCAGTCAAAGGAAAATGCATTATTTTATTCATTTGTAAAAGAAAGGTAAAAAATAAAGGAATTGAATGGTTGCACCACTTTGCGAGTATACTAAAAACCATCTTCAAAGTGTGAATTTTTATGGTATGGTATATCTCAGTTTAAAATACTAGAGGAACCTAATACTTAAGACATTATAAAAGACACAAAATAAACCAAAAGAAAAAGAGAATTCTCTGGAAAGATTAATGAAAAAGCAAAGTGCCTAAAAGTCTGTTTAAGATAAAAAGAAAAAGCAAAAAATTACAAGATTTGTACTCAAAAGGAGACATAATCACACACTGGAAGAGATTAAAAGAATGATGAGCGAATACTACCTACAATTCTATGGGAACACATTTGAAAATGTTCAGGAAATGGGATATTTTCTAGCAAAATATAAATTACCAAAATTGACTCAAAAAGAAGTAGAAAACCCAACCAGTTACCTTAGAAGGAATTAGAAAGCAATTAGATTTACCATCGAAAAAGGTATTAAGATCAGATGGTTTCATGAAGAAGCTTTATTTAAGCTTTAAATAACACATAATTTCAGTTGCTTAAGTTATTCCAAGGCAAAGAAAAATATGAACAGGACTCCAATTTATTATATGAAGTCATGGTAACTTAAATAGAAAAACTTGATATAGTATCAAAGAAGAAAAGTATATGCCAATTTCATATACAGAGATGCATAATTTCTAAATATCAACAGAATTCAGCAATGTATAAAAAATAATTCACTGTTAGTAAGTAGGGTTTATCACATGACTGCAAACATGGTTTGATATCTAGATGTTAATTACATAATTTGTCATATCAACTGAGTACATATTTTCAGTACTGGGAAAACATTTGATATAATCAAGTAGTCAATTCTAACAAACATTTTAAGTAAAATCAGAATAAAATGAAACTACTTAAATTTAAGATTGAACAGTATTTATTATCAACCAATAGCAAACATACCAAATGGTAAAATGCTAATAAGGTCATTTCTATTAAAATTAGATACAAAAAAGGATACTTGCTGTTTTCCTTTATTATTCAGCATTGTTTTAGAGCTCCCATAGATGCAAAGAGAAAAAGGGGATTCTGAATGACTTAGTCAATCTCTTCTGTGGGGAAACCCTGAGGTTTCTCTGTGGTCTTTGTTTATATCCAACTCAACATTCTGCATTGGCAGTAAACCTACTCCCAAAGCCCCAGCCCAGTTCTCAGGGTCCTCTAGGACCTGAAGCTTCCTAATGCAATTACCACTGACTCTTTATATCAACCAACTCTGAAGCTTGCCCTAATTCTAGATTCCCAGTTATATTAAATAAATATTTTCCAGTTAAATCAGTTGAATTGGGTTTCTTACTTGCAGTCAGAATTACCCCCATTATACGATAGTGTAGAATATACTTCTCTGGAGTTTGCTTTTCTCTCTTAATAATACATTATGTCAGTT